CGAAATCTGAACAAAGGCCCCAACATTATAAAACTCTTAGTTGTTCTTCAGTTTTTAATCTTTACAATTTTTTCTTAATATTGTATCATTCAATATGTAATCCATAAAAAAATCTTTCTCAACTTTTCGCTTCCTTTTTCAATTAAATCTGTCGTCGCCCTTTTTCATATAAAATTCACCCACATATCCTTTTCCCGAAGGGTATTTATTTATCGGCTATCTGTATATTAAAAAAATCATCTATTTATATATATTTTTATCTATAAAATGTTTTCCTGCGCGGATTTGGATATTCATGTTGCATGTTGCTGACTTTTGAAGTTTTTGGCAAGTGGGAACTTTTCTTTTTTATTATTATTATTTTTTGGGGTTTTATGCGGCTTTTTTGTTCCACTTTTTTTCTGTTCTCTTTTGTTGGGGGCTCAATTTGTTTACTTTAATTTACATTTTGTGTTTTGTTTCTTTGCATTTAGCGTTCAGGGTATATGTTGGAGCTGTTGTATCTGCGCTGATTATTGCAGAAAGTTTTTTACGCTTTGCCTTATTTTGTTGTTTCCGCTTATTTTCATTTTTTATTATTTTTTTTTTTTTTTAGAAGCCTATGCAAATGGCGCTTTGAGCCTCTTTAATGAACTACTTTTTGTGACCGCCCATTCATTCAATTGAATTGTGCGTGTGCCACGCCTGCTGCTGCCGCTTGCTGCTGGTGGTGCTGGTGGTGTTGCCAAACCCTCAGTTCCCATGCGCATAATTTATGTGCCCGCTTCTCAGTGGCTCATTTGCCAAAGTTTCTAAACATATATATATGTATATATATACTATATATGTGTGTATATATTTATACAGGATTCGTTTCTGTGTGCGTCAGTTTGATAAATGATATCAATTTCTTATGAACTCTCTAGCACATAAGTGGTATAGTATTTTCTATAGGCGTCAAAGTTTGTTTTGCAAATTTTTGTGTTCCTTTTTCATTTCAGCCTTGTTTTGTTTCACTTGCTTTGCGTGAGTGTGTCTGTGTGTGTGTGTATTTGTTTTGTTGTGTTGTGCTGTGTTGTGTTTTGTCAGTTGCTCAACTGTCGTCATTTTGCCAATTTGACACTTTTAACGTCTGCGCACTTGAAATTCAAATGCTCCCCGGCGCTTGACAGTCGAGCATATGAATTTTTAATGGGGCATGTGGCAGGCTTTTAGGCAGGCACGCGAAATCTACATATGGTTAAGCTTATCAATATGCTAATCGCTCTACGTCTCTGTGTGGGTGAGTGTGAGCATGTTTGGCATAATGCGGTATGCTAAATAACATACTCAGGTGAATTTTGCTTGTTAGCAGGTATTTGCCAACAGCCCTCGTCTCCATTTCTTCAAGCATCACAAAGGGTTTTTTGCTAATGGCAAATGCTGGCTATAAATAGTATGAGTTAAATTATTAATGCGCACATTTGGCTCAAAGTTTATATTTGAAAAAGTTGTCGATTTCCTAGACGTCACATTAAAGAGCTTTGGCTATGCCACGTGGAAGCCGAATACAAAAATAAAACAAATTTAATAGGTTTCGTAACTAAGTTTTCTGAACGATTAAAGTTTTGTAATCCTAGGTGCTTGGATTATGGAAAAGTTTCTTCGTTTTTTTCTTTAGTACAAAAGTGTGTAATTAAATATTTTAAGTTACCTTAGGCATCATCTAAACTATTTTGAACTCTAACTAATTAGGGAATTCTTACAAATTGTATAATTTATATTTTTATTCATATTATTTAAATATTGTTTATTTTTATATGCATTTCTCCAATTTGTAACCAGTCAGAGCTGTTCACTCTTTATCTTGCCTAATTTTATTGAGTCCACGATTCAATGATAATTGTATTAAGTGCTTCGTAGCTCTGCTCCTAACTATAAATATTTGGACTATCAGTTTCAGAAATGCTTGCGGCCCTATGCCCAATCAAATCAGCCATTTGAGCTGCCAACTTTTACCAATTTCACATAAACTAGCATATCTAACGAGCCAAAAATTAAGAAAACACAAAAAGAGTAAAACCAGAGACAGCGGAGAGAGAGAGAGAGAGAGAGAGAGAGAGAGAGAGAAGGGTAGAGAATGAGAACATTTTAATGTGTGGCCAGTTGGCTTGCAGGCCTTTCGGCTATTAGCCCAGAAAAACACACATAAAGAGCTGCAACACATTAGCCAGAAACGAGACTCGACGCAGACCCACCAAGTAGCCAGACGACAGACGACAAAAGCAACCAACAAAAAAAAAAAAAAAAAACACCAAAAATTGCCGCAGGCCAAAACAGTTCCCAGACTGGCAGCGGCATGGGCAGCGAATTAGAAAAACTTTTTGGACGCTAATCTATAATGCTGTCAGCCATTAAACATTAAACAACTGAAAAACCAAATTTGTAACTCATTAAAAAACAGAAGAAGAAAAATGTAAAAAAAAAATAAAAAATTTGAAAGAAATATTTGTATGTGGAAATGAAACTAGCTGAAAGTGAGTCGAAGTCGAAGTGACTGATAAATACCACTTGGCTGCTCTCGCGGCTGTCTCATTTGGGCTGCCAAATAATATTTAATTATAAACAAATAAACGCGAAACGTCGAACAACTTTGGAACTGCCCGAGGCAGCTCAATGGGGTCGTATCTAGTCATTTTTTTATTTTTCTGGTGCTTTGTTGTTTTGGGACTGCTCTGCCTCGTAAAAGGTGCAGAGTGATTAATTATATGTCAGTGGAATTAAATCAAATATTTGAGTTGACACACAGAGAGAGAGAGAAAGACAGAGAGAGAGATGAACGGCAAAACGAATGGGCTTTTGGGTCTGGGTTCGCTACGGCTTATCTGTCTATATGAAATCACGAAATGCAAATAAAAATGACTTCGAAATGCCATAATAATTTTCCGAAGCGTGCATGAAAAATTGAAAAACCAACGAACAGAGTAGCTAGCACCGTCCGAAAGATAACAAAAATTCTCAACCTTTTCCGCTGTTAGATCAACCAAGCAAGCAGACAGTGTGGGTTAGGACGACCGAGAGGTAGGCAGACAGCCAGGCAGGCAGCTAGGCAGCCAGGCAAGCCATTATGACAAAGTACAAACGAAAAAGTAAAGAAATAAAATTGAAAAGGAAGAAAACATTAGCATATATCAATGCCAAATGCAAATAAATCATCAATAACATTTCTTTTCCACTTATGCACCACTTACAGATACTTAACCGCGAAGACAAAGACCGTGGATCGGCTGCAGCTGCATTTGTATATATATACATATATAAATATACATATATATATATATATATATATATACAAGTTTATCATCATTTTGGGAGACACAGGAGCTGGAACAGAGCGGCGCGTATTGTCATCTGGCTGGCAGCATTTGGAGCGTTGCCTTTTGCATAAATTGACGCCAGGCGGGATAAGCCGAATAAGTTGAGCAGCCGGCAGCTGGTGGCTGAGGGGGGCGTGGGCGTGGGCGTGAGCGAACGCAAAGCCGAAATGGAAAGGCAAACATAAAGCAATTTTATGCGTTTTTAAAATGCGTCAATTGACTGAGACAACAAAAGCGCGCGCGAGCGTCGACTGCTGTTAAATTCAAGAGAATCGCATGTGAGCACGTTTCCCCTGGCAGGAAAAAGGACGACGCACAAATCAAATACGACGCCGTATAAGCATATCGAATAGGAGCAACCGCAGGACCAAGACGCACCGAGACGTGGCTGATAAGACGCACGAGGCGAGGAGCGAACGGCAGAGGACGCTTGATGGTTTGTTGACGACCAACAAAAAGTTGTTGAGCGTGTAAACATTGGCAGCATAAAAAGGAAAAAGGGAAAAGGGAAATGCCGAGGCAAAGCGGGCATCAGGAGCAGCAGCAGCAACAGCAACAAGAAGCAGCGCGCCACATTTATAAATGCTCTACAGTTACAAATTGTAGCCACAGCTGTGCGTGCGTATGAGAGTGTGCGTATGTGTGTATGTATGTGTGTAGCACATGTGCTGTAAACCATTTATAAATGTAACAAAAAAGCAGACAAAGCCAGTTGGGCGCAAGTGCAATGCATAAATATAAACAAAAAGATACAAGTTGAAGAAGGAGCTAAACAAGCTACAACAACAACAACAACAACAATAACAACAACACAGTCAGGAGTAGCAGTGCGAGCTATAAACAAAGCGAAGGAAAAAAAATCAATAATTTAAAGCGCCAGCGAATTACAATTGTATCTGTGAGATACAATTTAACAGAGACGTGAATTCCAGTTCAAAATAAAAATAATAAAAAAACCTGAAGTCAAATGCAATTTCTGCTTTTATATCTATGAGCTACATTAGCGTTGTGGGTGTGTCGCGAGTGTTACAAAAAAAAAAAAAAAAAAAAAAACAATACGTGGCGTGCAGTGCATAAAATCGTGAATTTATGTCTCTCAGCAAATGCAATTTGCAGGCGTAGATGCAAATGTATCTACAAGCTGCAGTTGTGACAAGTGCAGCTTGACGAGCCTAAAAATGCCCGGGGCAACGGACTTTAGACTTTAATGTATAACAAAAGTGAATTACCCAAAGAGAAATAGAAGCGAAACGTGACTTTTCTGCACAAAGATACATTTGTAGTGTTCGGATACTTTTGACAACAACAACAGCAACAACAGCCACAACATAACAATGAAATAAGCTAAACAAATAAAGTTGATAAACGAGCTCTTGCTCAATAAATACATTTGTATCGTAAGGATACATTTAAAGTGTTTCTCAAATACTTTTTGCATCTATAAATAAACCTTGCTTTCATTTGTAAAAGCAACAACAATTTGTGTGCTTGCATTTATGCAAACAGCAGCGGCAAATAGCAGAGGACAATCAGCTAAAATCAAATTCGAATTCGAATTTCAAACGCAAAATCCTCTAACGCATTTGCACCTGATAATTCAATTTTGTTTGTGTTTTAGTTTGTTTTTTTTTTTTCTTTTTTTTTAACTGTTCAATTCATTTGCAGAGAATTCACAATTGTCGCCAACGGAGCCGCACAGTCAGACAACAACAAATGGAACATGTTGATGCCGATGCTGGAATACAACAAACACATTGCCAAAATACCAAATTGCAAAATGAGGTCGCTTAGGGCGTGGATGCAGCAAATGCTGCTATTGCTGCTGCTGCTCTTTGGCCGCTGCGATGTCATCCGGGCGCTGGACAATGCAGCCGGCAACAGCAACAACAACAACGGCGGCGGCGGCAGCATCGGTGGGTCCGGCTCTATTGTGGGCGCGGTTGGCACAGCATTAAGCGGACCACCAGGCGCACTGAACGCCAATCTCACGGATCTAGGCAGTCCCGGTGTGTATAATTCGACAAATGGTTTAATGCTAATTACATGTAGAGCAGCTGAGCCGTTTGGCTGTGAGCTCCCCAACCAAATTTGAGGCGACGCCGCCGTTTTGGCCTGTTTCATGATGTGTGCGTAATACATTGAATATATATGTGTGTGTGTGTGTGTGAGCTGGTGTGTGTGTATTTTCTTGTGCGCATTTCCGGTTTCCGTTTCCGCCGTCCACTATCCGGCTACCTTGGCAAAAAAAACTATTAGCCACTTTTAGCTAAATAACCACGCCCAGCCAGCACAACTCTTATATGCTTAACAGCTATGCTCAACGCACATACACACGCACACCCACACACACTCTAGCAAAACACTAAGCATCAATTAACCCAATTTTCAGAATCCATTTTCACCTGACTCGGGCGCTGCTCTCTGAGCTTTAGCTTTTTCTCTATATACTTTTTCGAGCCACACTTCTTTAATGTTTTCTTTTCTTTTATTTTATTTATTTTTTTCTTTGTTCTTTTTCCATGCGATGCAGGAATAGTGTATTTAGCTTTTCTGTCCTTTTCCGAAATATTTTTTACGTTTTTTTCCCGGCTAACAAATACTGTTTGACCGTGTATATCCTAGTTGAGATATGGTTTGCTTATAAAGAAGTTTGAAAGGCTTTTAAGAGCTTAACAAGAAGTCTTCCAATGCTTGAATGTATTACACATATATATACAAAATTTGTACTGAGAGTATAAATAGTTAATTTCTGCTACAAAAAAGTCCACAAATCCTATCTGAAATTCCCATCAATTTTAGTCTAGTTCTATTAAAGTCATAAATGACTGCGCTTAGCTAAGGGGTATCTGCTGGTCGGTCAGCATCGACTATAGCGCAGACTTATTCTACTGCACCACTACACCAAATCCCAAGTGGCGACGTCGCCATTCGCCGCTCGCCAAACTTTAATCCCAGAAACACCATCCATACATAGTATATAATGTGGCTTAGCCTGGGTGCCCCTTGGCAGCTACTCTTGGTATTTGTTTTCTTTTTTCTTTCCTTCTCTTTCGCAGGCGCTGACGTGTTTTGTTGTAGTTTGGTTTTGGTTTGGTCTGGAGGATTGGAACGTTTTGGAACGCCTTCGTGAAAGCTACCAACGACAATAATAATAATAATAATTAATCTATTGACTTTAATTTGCAGTTTACTGAATAATGCACATAAATATTACAATTAATTTTTTCCAGCATTTAACATTGCATATTTGAATAACCATAAAACGGAATATTCATCAAAATATTTTCTTTCATTTAATATATTTTTTCCGCACTATGCTCATTACAAATTGATGAGCTCGTAATCAGTGGCAAATATTTTAAACAATTTTTTAATTTCAGCTTCCAATATTTTTTCAGGTTTCAGAGCTTTTGATTTGTTTTGCATTTAATCATAAATAATTTATGTTTACACATTTCACAGGCTCTGTGCGTGTTTCTATTAATCTAATTTTATAACTTGATAGAGTCGGTTTTCCCTTATCTCTAACATGCGGGTGACATTGGCCTAGGCAGCTGGAACGAAATGCAGTTCAAGAGACGTTTGATTGATTTGCTTGCCATCGTGGCATTCATCAACCCACATAGCTGGAAGCAGCTGCGGCAGATACTTTGGGATTACACTTGGGAGGATTGCCAAGTGGTAAGTTTTATTGGGTTCGCCCTTCAGCTATTCAAGTACAGCAGTTGACATACTTTTATGAATCTAGGTGGTTGCCATTTCATCAACTCATACGGGCTAGGCCTACTCGGAAGTCGACCATAAAGAATGTTAAAGCAACAAGGCAACAACTTGAAATGAAGGCGTCTTTATATTATTTAACGTTAATTAGAAAACATATAACGCTAAGAAAATATTTTGTTTTTCCTATTTTAATCATTGAAAACTGTATAACTGTAAAAATAATTTATCAATTTGTGAAGAAAATTTCTAATTTAAAAATTTTATTGAATTGAAAAACAACATAAATTAAAATGTTTAACTTTTCTGGTTATTAGTAAATTTATTTTGATTATTATGTTTATTGTTATTATTGCAAACGTAATAAATAAATAATTTATTTAAAAAACAACATAGAACTAAAAAGTTTCCAAGTGGCTTCGTGTTTAGTAAAAAATTATAAATAATAAATGAATAAATATTTAAGCAAATGTAAACATTATTTTTTTGTTATTTGTGGTTGGTTTGCTTCATATTATTTCAGTGAATACTCAGTCACAAAATTGCCTTCAAGAGACGATAAAAAGCCAAGTTTGTCCAAATCTATTATGAGATCAAAGATCTATATCGTCTTACCTTCTTTTCCATAGGTTGCTTAAAACAATTTCTTGTTACGCTGCACTCAACCGAGCGGGGTGGGTAGGAAACGGACTGCAGGCAAATGCCTTTATAGAGATAACGTTCGGCCTACGCGACTGCAGCCAAGAGAAACGTGTTTAAGGCCAACTTTTAGCCAGGCATTCGGCTGGCTGGGTTGCCTGAGAGAAGGAGTTTTATGCGTTCGCAGGCAGAGTGGAAAGCCAAACAAGGCACAGAGATCGATTGAAACGAAAGTGTTGATAAGCTGAGACCAAAAGATAAAGTCAATCAATCAACGGAGACAGCGTCTTTTTAAATTGACTTAATTATCTAGACTAGAGAGACTTAAAATGGCTGATTTACATCGAAATTGGTAACTTAATATACCAATTGCCTGCGAACAAAGCAGACACTTGGCTTATGAACATATTTGGAGCGCTCGGACAAGACAGTGAATGGGTTTTATTAACGAATTATACAAAATATTTGGACAGCGAAAACAATTTGCTCTGAATGACAACAAAAGGAGTATATTGAATTTCAATGGGCATTCAAAAGAAACTGGTTTATGGCCTAATCGCTGTTGATTTCTTGTCTCATTTGTTGGTGCTGAATTTATTTGTTAAGAGTTAAGAGCATTTGAGAATTTATTGTTAAATTAGCTTGAAAATTGTCTGATCAATTTTCTAAGCTAAAACTTCTTGGCAAATTCCAGAGACTGCAGAAATACACAAAAACTTTCACGTTGCGTCCATTCGCCATGCGCCATGCCCCATGCGCCATTCGCCGCTCTCAAAACTTGCCACACACAAAACTTGCACCCAAACAAATAGCTGGCCATAAGAAGTTGTTCAAATATTTATTTACTTTTTCAAGTTGTTGCTCCTTTCTGTATTTTACTTATTCTATATATATATATTTTTTTTTTGTGGCCGTGTTTTAGTCCTTGAGCAAAAAGTTGGGCCGCTACTTTTTGCACCTGCTTTAAGTTGCTGCAAAACTAATAACAAATCTTTTCATTAGTTGCGTTAGACAGGATAGTTAAAAAAGTGCACTTTACTCAAACAGATGAGAGCCAATATATGTGTTAAACAATAGAGCAAAACAAAGCAGGAGAGAAGGAGAGTAGTAAAGCTGCAAGAGCTGGAGATACCCTGCAGAGCGAGGAATTGTAGACATTCAAAGAGCCAGCATGTAAAATAATATTGTCAATGAAACTATGAAAACAAAAATTCTTAGCCAAGTAAATAGAGAGTTAGTGTAGAATATAAAGTAAGTATATTAAAATTCTTTGATTTTGAACTCAAGTTAGATTTATTATACAGATAGCTGGCTAGCGCTTATTGAAATACCTGGCCTTACGGCTAAGACGAGAAAAAGATTGTCAAAGCCAATAAACAGCTGGCAGCATAAAGAAGACGAAAGCCACAGCTGGAGTTGGAAACTGACTGCAAGTTGTCTAAAAGTTATTGTTGCTGCTGTCGCTCCTGCTGCCCCTGCCATGCATAATGAAAACATAACATTTAGTTAGCACTTGTATTTATCTAAGGCAGACACAGAGCAAGTGAGCGAAATGGGCAAGAGTTTTCCATTAATAACTCGAAAATGTGTTCGCTTATATAAGCTGGGCTGGGCGCACACCTTTTAGCACAGGAAGAGGCCCAGACACACAGACACTGAGAAACAGGCTCTAGCTCTGGCTCTGGTTCTGGAGATGCCTGCCCCCTAGTGTCCTTTAAAAGTTATATGTTTTTCTCTTTTCTTTCCGTTTGCTTGCGTTTGTTGGCAAAAACAAATCAAAGGAGCTGGCAACTTGCTTTGCCATTCTATTGAGGGCTGGGGCATAGTACAATGACTCTAACAACAGGGACAAGTCATGACAATGGCAATTAAAGCAACAACGTTGCCAACAGACAAACTTTTTCCCATAAAGAAACATGAAAAGCAAAAGCAAACGCAACAACTATGGCCAAATGGGTAAAAACTCTCGTAATAAACGAAAATTATGATGATTTTCTATTTGGCATCGCGTTTTACAAAATCATTTTCAAAGCCCAAGCGCGAAGAACAAAGCACCATTAAAGCAATACGACAATGCAATCCAAAAGACAAACCCGAAACCCTGAACGGAATGGGGATGAAGATTAACACGGAAAAACCGAACAAAAAGAAATTAAATGACAGGAAAATATATATTAAATGATAAGAGCAATGTTTACTGTCTGTGGCAAGAGTGCGTTAAGTGAAATCATTTTCAGCTCAATGTGCTTGCTTATGAGTAAATGGCATTAGTGCTGCCAGAGCAAATTGAAGTTGTATAATACATGATTCATAAGATGATTATTCGCGATTCCGAGTTTTCAGATCTTTGCAATATTTTATAAAGCAAATATTCAAACTAAACTTTTCTAAAAAATATACAAAACTTTTGTTGGAAATTATGTAATTTGTAATTTGCACTGAAAAACTGATTTTGAATCACATAAACGATCTAATATAAGTAAATTTTCCTCATCAGTTCCTGATATCAGTTCATGATATTCACTTATCGGCGGATTTTCTTAACTTTAGCTTGATTTAAATTTCTTATAAATTTCCTATATTTCATATAAAGTGGAATATATTAGATATAAATTAAAGTTACATATGACAATCATAGACAAAATTAACAAACTCCAAAAAAATAAAATATGGTAGCAGCACAGACAAAATTAATTTTGAGCTGTGTAGCTAAAATAATATGGAAATAAAGCAAGCATTGATTTCAATATGAAAACCCATATTTGGCACACAACTCAGTAGAAATATTTATATACCGATAGGAATTAACAATTTGAAATTATGTCGCAAATTGAAGCTTTACGCCTTTCAGTGAAGGATCGCATTTACCTTTGGCTCCACCACTCAAAGGAAATTAAATATAGCACCGTTAGGGGAGCTCGTCGTGCTGTTGTAGATTTTCTTGTGTACGTCATATTTGTGGCACTGGCCTCAGTTGGTAAGCGGTGAGCTCGACTTCTTATCGTATGGCGATTCACGAAACGCAACTCTGCTCATTCCCGCAGTCACACAGATGAACAACACTAAAAATATGTACTACTATAACAATGCTCTGAAGCGCCTATTGGTAGAGCGTGCGATAAATTTCGAAGACGATCCGAATGGAAAATTTGAAAATATTAATAACATCGATCGGTTTTGGGACTACATCTTGGATGTATTTTTAAACATTCTCGAAAAAGGCGACTTTCGACCGAATGATCCGGCCGCAATCTATACATTTCCCAACGATACGACTTTTTACAATGAGATCTATGGCAATATGGTCGAGCGAAACATATACCATGGCAACGTGCTGCTCGGACCACCGCGTCTCAGACAGATCTGCGTGAGAGATGGTCTGTGCTCCACGAATCCCGTATTTTCCAAGAATTCGCCCACCTGTTATGCACCATACTCGTGGTCCGGTGAGAGCCGTGCAAACCATCAGGGATATCAGTGGGTCAGCATGGCACAGGATGGTGCAACGCCAATCAATGGCATTTTAGACTGGTATTTCGGTGCCGGATTCATACAGATGCTCACATACAACTATAGGGATAATGTGGAAATAATTAAGAATTTACGCGTTAACGAGTGGTTCAGCCGTAATACCCGAATTGTTATTATTGAGTTCAATATATATCATATCATGACAGATTTACTGGAGATCGTGAAGTAAGTAGCGTAAAAACAGGCATACAAAAAAAGAGAGAGGCACCGAGAGATAGATATGTCAGGGGTTATTGTAATTGTTATTTGTTAGTTAAGCGTAATTACTAAAGACAACTGATTTCTACTGTTATATTTATACT